CTACATTAAAACATGAAGAAAAAGTGTAAGTTGTGTTGTTTGTGTTTTCGAAATGCTTCTAGATTCAGTCGTAGAGACAAGATTTAAAAAAGTCCCCTCAGTTCCTGGTTTCCACAGTTTTATGTTTTTCACGTTATACTCATGTTTCATTCATATACATCTTGTAGGCAGATACTCCAAGGATTAAACGTTTGAGGAAAGCATAGTCATTTAGGTCTTACAAATAGTGGAGGGCCACGTAGAGCCCGGAAATCTCAAATGTACAAGAAAGAGTGGTGGAAGTGACCACCCGGGCAACCATTTGACTGAGGCTAATCACAAACATGGGCAAAAAGACCACTTGGCTCATTTCTACTCTTTTTTTGTAATGTAGGAAGAAACCTAACACAAAACATGAATCATGTAGTGGTGTATCATTTGGTTTGGATGATGAAATGAAATATATTGATTCTCACATAGTGTAGACTGTAGAGTAACTTACCTAGTAGTAGAATAGAAACATACAAAGTTATTGCAACAAGTTTGCTTCGACTACAGGTCCAATGGCTTGTTGTTGGAGAGGAAGAGGAATAAGAGGAAATACTTGACTCTCTAAATCTTTCTCTTTCTTTTGGTTTTTTGACTTGGGCTCGGACTCTCTCGCTCTCCCTCTCAGCTTCTCCAAAGCTTTTCTCCTGTTCTCCTTTCTCCCTACTCGAGCTTCTGCGGCTTCACCATGGAGATGAAAGTTGATCCCTCCGAGAACTCCAGCCGTTAGATGAAGCTTCTGGTGTTCCTTAACATTTGCTTCGAGTAAAGGAGCCTGGCAAAGAAAGGCAAAAGTGTCTTTTAAGAGCTTTGCACAAACTAAGAAAACTGATACTTGCAATGCAGACTCAATACCAATCTAAAAACAGCTTAAGCAATAAACAAATGAAAATATTGTCTGCACAATTTTATGGATTGACATTTCCTTTGTTACCCAAAATCAGATGCACTATGTAGTGAACATGAAGGAAGTACATAAAGAAACTCAAATGTCAACAAATGTTTAATGGTTCCGTGAAATTTAGGGATTCTGTACACGAATCACACTAGTTGGAAGGGCATATAACAGCTGAATTTTCTCGTCTTCCCTAATCAAACAATCTCTAATGGCTCAACCTAAACTCAATGGCCTCGGATTCATTCATATCGTACGAACCTGAGAAGAACCTACTCGTGTGGCTAAAATCACCCGGCGCAGGGAAATTTTAGGTGATTCTCCGGTTACCGGAGAAATTGAAATCAAAACCGGCGACCAGATAGAGCAAGATCTCGCCCTCTGTCTTCTCCGGTAGATCAGCAATACCTTCTCGGCGTCGGTAACTACTACTCGGTGATCGGAGAAAGTGTTTTCAGAAATGTAAAAATATGAAATTATAAAATAATAAAAGTGGTGGGCTAAAAACATTTTGGGCCTCATAATGCACATAAATGGGCTTTGTTGACTTGCAACCTAATTACAGATTTCTAGCAAACAGAAGATGACAGATTTTCTCATCAGCATTGACATTTTCCCGGAAACGTGAAGTAGCAACAAGACTCTTCTTCTCCTTCTTCAACGACTCTGCTTCTTTCTGGAAATCACTTGTTTTCTCAAGACCAGACAATATAACATTGAATGTTCCTAGCGAAGGCATGATCTTTCGCTCTCTCATCTCTCCCAATATCTTCATTGCCTTCTCTGGACTCCCTGCTGAGCTATAAACATCCATCAGCGCCGTGTACGCGGCTACGCCCTTTTCATCATCCGGAAGTAAGTTGAAAACCTCTGCGGCTAAGCGAGGTCTTTTGCCAAACCCGAGTTTGTGGATCAATGTTGCTCCTTGGAACACACCAAGCGAGTGTTGGGATTTCACCATCTACTTGACCACTTCCACCACTTTAGGAAGCTCGTTTGTTCTTAAAAAGTTACCGACTAACGCAAGATACGCTGTCTTCTCGAGATGAATTCCCATTTCCGAGCTGTACTCAAGGGCTAACGATGCCCCCTCGGTTCTACAACGGTCACAGATTGTTTTTACGATTGCTGAAACAACAAAAGAATCCAACTTTACGTTTCTGTCTTTCATCTGGTGAAGTAGATGATCAACTGCGACAAGATTCTGCTTCGCCAAGAGAACGGAGCTGATAAGTCTACTATCATCTGAACTTTTCGTGTCATCAACTTCGGCTGTAGGAGTTTCATCGATGTCAGCAGAAATATGCGAATTGACTTCTCTTAACAGATCATCGCTTTCGCCTGCTGCTTTCAAGGTCTCTGAGGCCTCAAGAAAGACGGGATAGCGAAGGACAAGCCCGTTTTCTTTCATGTATCGAAGAATTCGAACTATGAAAGATGTTTCCCTGAATTTACAGGCTTTTCCAATCAGAATATTGCAAGCCGCTTTATCTGGCTGCACCCCAATTTCTTGCATTTTAAAGAAAATGTCTAAGGCTTCCTCGCATTTTCCTGCAAATTAAATGAAGAAACTAAGGGATCATCGTCATAGCTACAAAACATTCAGAAACCAATATCCAGACAACAACAACATCCATATTCTTAAAAAGTTTACTTTCAGCTAGGCATTTTAACAAACACTTTGAGTGCATAGAGTGAAGCTCACCTGTGCCTAGAAGATACTCCATCAACACCGTATAAGTGTAACAATTCGGAGAAATTCGCGACCGCAACATCTCCTTATACACCTCCGTCGCTTCTTCCACCCTCCCATCGTCGAAAAGTATCTTCATGTAAGCCGTATAAGACACGACCGTAGGTTCGCACTCATTATCTCTCATCTCCTCCCATAACCGTATTGCTCCCTCCACGTCGCCGGAACTTGAAACCCAGTGAATCAACGACGTATACGTAACCGTGTCGATCACCACACCTTTCTCCTTCATAAGCTGGAAAACAGAGTACATAGATTCGATCCGACCAGCTTCACCGAAGATATCGAGCATGGTGGTGTAAGTGAAGTGGTCGTGTTTGAAGCCCTTGATCTGAGCAGCAGCCCAGTTGAAAAAGAGCCAAGCTTTCTGCATCGGAGGGTGGGCTTTCAAGACACGGTTGATGATGTGAGAATCCCATTTCACGCCGAGATTTGGGAGCTGTTCTCGAGCAGATTCCCAAGTGGAGTACTTGAGGAGGTTATAGATATTGGAGACAGTGTCTCTCGTGTAGATCGTTGGATCTTGGGTCTGTGTTTTCACTGGTTTTGGTTTCTGAATGAATCGCTGCTTGGTGGGGTTTCTGGGTGGTCTTTGTCGGGGAAGAGAGCGAAATAGCTCGACGGAGCTCTGGCGAAGTGTTAGTTTGATTGAGAGTCTGCAGAAAATGGTAGAGAAGCGCATGACTCACGATCATTCCGATCAACGAAACCGATGGTCTCAGTCTAAGTG